TGGGAGAGCCAGGCCCAGCAATGCTCTGGTGGTCCATAGGCCGGTGCTCCTTGTTTGGAACTCTTTGCATACATTGTAGTTTTTCTATCCTTCAGCTCTTCTACTCTCAGCTGCTCACTGTTTTTCTTAACAGACTATGAAACAGAATTTAAATCTCCCTTTATGTGCAGAAATCTATTTAGAGCAGTTTCATCTTCAGTTATATTGACTTTGTTGAAAAAAAAAAAAAGAAACAAACAAACCAAAGCAAGTCTCAAACTTGTCAATCAATGACAGTAGTGCAGGTGTGTAAATACTGGGAGCAAAAAGGGGGCAGGCTAAATCTGTGATCACAATAACAGCCCACAGTGGATTCACTTTGGGATCATGGAATCATGGAATATCCTGAGTTGGAAGGGACCCACAAGGATCATAGATTCCAACTCCTGGCCCTGCACAGGACAGCCCAAGAGTCCCACCATGTGTTGTCCAAACACCTCTTGAACTCTGTCAGGCTTGGTGCTGTGACCTGGAGAGCCTGTTCCAGTGCCTAGCCACTCTCTCAAGGAAGAAACTTTTCCTAATATATTGATATAAGTCCTTATAAAATATAAACCTTTTCCTAATATATATGATACTGAAATAGTATCAGTTATGCTTGCTAATTTTAGCATGTTTTAGAAATCAATTACCAGGATTCATTTTGTAACCTACATGTTACAGCATAGCTTAAGAAGAACGAAAGACTGTTAGTGTTCAAATAAAATTTCTACCTCAGCCTGTATTCTTCTTGTATACTAAGCTGAATTTCTTCTGGTTCATATTTTTGTCTTAGACACTACCTTCGTGCTTATTGAAACTAGTCCATCTCCAGGAATGGCAGCTTCATAGAACTAGTCTGCAGAAAATTCCTCAATTTATTGGAAGATTTCAGAGTCTTGTTGTTCTGGATCTATCCCGGAACTCAATTGAAAGTGTACCTAAAGAAATTGGTGAGCTGTGCTTTCTTTTAAGCTGCTTTTCTAAGAAAATTGCACAAATGTGCCATTTTTGTGCCCTTTCCCTGTCTAAAAATCCTGTTGGGTAGTTAGAAAACAGATGATTTAAATCTGACAGTGAGACAGAGATCTCCAAACCACAGATTGCCTACAAATTAAAAAATGACTGGATGGAAGACATCTTTATGAAAGCTCCCCATGGAAAAAGAAAGCCTGCAAACACAGCAGGGACTAGACATCAGAATGCAGCTAGAAAAGTGATATTGAAAAACAGGCTTCATGTTCTGAGTCCAGAGCATGAGCAGTCTATTCCTAATTTTTCAGTTTTGGGGTTTTAGAATGCAGCTCTGTACTAAAGAGTCCTGAAGTCCTACTATTTGCATTTCAGTGATTATTTAAAAATTTTTATTTTAAATTTGTGAAAACACAGAGCATTTCTATAACAGTTAAAGGATAAGACAAAACAAGTAATATTGTATTTCAAATAGAATGAACGTGAGCATTTCTCATGTCTCATTTGTGCTCTCTGCAGGCCAGCTGACCAGCCTCCAAGAGCTGCTTCTCAGTTACAATAGAATAAAGTCTGTTCCAAAGGAAATAAGTAACTGTATCAGTCTGGAAAGATTGGAACTGGCTGTCAACAGGAATATCTGTGATCTTCCTCCTCAGGTTTTGACACTGTTTTGTTTTGTTTAATGCATATTTTTTGAATTTATCCAAACCCAATAATCATTGAAGGATGCACTCCATGTTTTCAGATTTGCTGTGATACTCTGATTTCACAACTAATCCACAGAAATACTGATGTGAACAGCCTTTCTATGACTAGTCAAACTGAAGCCATGTGAGAAAAACATACTTATACCTGAGTAGCTGAAGGAGCCAATCTTTATTTTGTCCAGATAAATGGCTTGGCAGTGCATACAGGGCAGTGATACACTTCATGTCAATTTGTCTAGGCTGAATGTCTTCACTGGTTTACCCCACTGAGATTCTGATGCCTTAGCACAGAGAAGTTCTCTTTTATGGTTGAGAGTAGAAATTCATATCACATGCCAGGACACAACTGTAAGCATCTTGACCAGAACAACTTGCTCTCAAAAGGGTTTGTGTGATTTATACAACTGCCTATGCATGCAGTTGAACAATTGTTGTTCTCAAACATTGAAAACAATTATGAGGGAATAAAAACAACTGCTCACCTACTACTGAGCTTTAATTTGAACTGACCTACATGTGAGAGAGACCTGCATCTCTAACTATTAGTCTCTTAGACAGAGATGACAAGTATGCAACCATATATACTTTTTAAAATTTATTTAAAAACATAGTAGTGACAATAGTTGTCAGCAATCAGTGCCTTGCAAAATTGAGTGAATCCAGACAGTGATACCCAATATCAAATCTTCAAATGGAAATATACACTATTAACCAAAATCCAGGATTTACAAAATCTGCATGGATACAGGTCACATGGTGTAATGTAGAGTGATGGCTTTTAAATTAACAGCTCATAGCAAATGCATAGTTGTGTCCTGTCGAGACTACAGTGATGTGAACGCTGTGAAGCTTTGGTTGTATGTACTTGAGTGGCATTCAATGTTTAGACAGTTGGATCAGATTTGCCATAAATTATCTTTGTATCACTTGAACATTGTAAAAGCACCTGAAGGCATGGTTCACCAAAGGAGTTAGGTGCTGCAATACTGAATGATGTTATGTTGCATTTTTAGAATGTCAGTAGACTTCACAGCATAGATGGTGTCAAGGTCCACTCTAAAATACAGTACATGCAATTTGATGCATAAAAATCTAAATATTTGACTAATGAAAAATGTCATATTTCATGGAATATGACATACTAAGGACAGTGCTGTCTTTAAAATTCTCTTTCTCCATGAGGCTTAGTGCATATATGGATTGTAGTCATGGCTTTCAGCCTCTCAGCACTTACGGCGCTTGCTACCAGGTGAGGTAAAGTTCTTCTGCCTGACCAGTTTCAAACCTACCTACCTTCCAGGTGAGAACTGTAACTGTTAGATAATACCAGCTACTGTAACTCAGAAACCATTCCGTGTTAACTAGCTCCAAAATACGTTGTAATGTTTGTTAACATTTTTAGAGCACTGCTGTAATGCTGCAACAGCTACACAAACTTGCATTAAATCTCCACTTCTTTTCAGCTCAGTGATTTAAAGAAGCTTTCACACATAGATTTGTGCATGAATCAGTTTACTACCATCCCTTCAGCTCTCCTCAACATGCCACATCTAGAATGGTTAGATATGGGGGGAAATAAACTCCAGGAGCTTCCTGATGCAATTGACAGGTAAATAAAACTCAAAGCTCATCTTAGTCTCAATTCCATTGCACTGAAATTCTAATTATTAAATGCTACTTCAAAAGATAATTTTTATGTTAACTTCACAGCAAACTTATGATTTTGTCAGCCCTAAAATGATGTTTTGGGTGAGCTGGAATAATCCATTCAATTAACAATATAAGGTTAAATATTTATTGCAAATGACATTTTCAAACAGAGATTAGGTGATTATGTTGGATAGAGACTTGTTGCATTCTTTAGCCTTTATGTGGCTGAAGAATTATTTATTTTATCGTAATGATTGATAAGATTAATTTTATAAATCTTGATTGAGTGCACAAATACCTGTTTTTCAGAATGGAGAATCTCCACACTTTATGGCTCCAAAGGAATGAGATAAACTCTTTGCCAGAAACCATTTGTAATATGAAAAATCTTAGTACTCTTGTTCTTAGCAACAACAAGCTTAAGGATATTCCAGCTTGTATGAAAGATATGACAAATCTGAGGTAAGAAAAAGCAACAGAAATATAAATAGAAATACTAGAAGATAAGTTTTAAAGCCTTCTTTGAGTTGTATATCAAAGAATGATACTAAGGAAGAGGAAAAGAAAAGGCATGACCACAGTTGTACAGACGGACACAATACCATATAAATCAGCATAATTGCACAGATTCACAACAGTTGAGGATCTGGTCAAGCAACCTTTGTGTAGTGAAACTCATAAAGAAGCGTATGATGATAGTTACAGTCCCAAATGACAAAGCAGGCTGTAATACATTTTCTCATTTCCAAAATGTCCTCATGCCCCCCCATAACTGGCCTTTTATATCACTCTCTAAAGCCAAAAGCCTGCAGAAAAATATGTGACAGGCATAAAAATGGCAAAAAGTAGAACTTTGCTACTTTGAGAAATCAAACATTCAGAATTAAACAAAAATGATTAGGTATGAGGACAAGGAAGAAAGGATATGAAAAATAAAAAATAATGGACATTCTTAATTGAATATGCAATACTATGTATACCGTGACAGAAACTTTCCTGTTGTTTGCATTTTCATTTAGATTCCTGGATGCTGGCCATTTTAGAGAAAGAATGCTAGTCCACATAAATCATGTCTAACCCAGTAAGACAATTACTGTTTCCAGCTGTTTTGGAAGCACCTCTTAAACCAAATATATGCAAGCATAGGTGCAGGGATGGACCAAGGACAAGGATAGACAGGATTGGCTACTGCCTTGCAAAGCTGGGAGGAAGCATTTGCACTGTTGTTCTCATCAGTCCTCTGTTTGTGGAAGCTCAATACTCCCGACCATGGGGTGAAAACCTGAACACAAAGTGACAAGGACTGCAATGTTTTTTCCCCACCACAATCAGCTAGTGTTATTATATAGAGTCTTCTTAGTTTACTTAATACTATTGATAGAGGGGTGAGTTTAGTATAATAAAAGCCTTATTTAATTTTGCTCAAAATAGTGATTGACAAATCTTAATTCAGTTTCAAAAGAATTGTTTTCTCTGGACAAAACTTATTGCAAGCATAACCTTTTTTGGTGAATTATCAGATTTGTCAACTTCAGAGACAACCCACTGGAGCTAGAGGTAACCCTCCCTCTGTGTGAGGATACAGAAGAGGAGGAGCAGCAGGAAATGTTTGGCATTGACTTCATGCACATGTATATCCAGGAGTCCCTCAAGAAAACAGGTATGACTTTTTTATTAATTCTGATTCTCTGGAATACAGTGAGAAAGGGAAGGACAAACTGGATAAATAAAATCTAGGATACATATAGAAATGAAACATGAATATTCTTCTTAATAAATGAATAACATTTTCCAAAAAATCTGTAAAACGATTTTTACTGAGGGCAGGGGGTGCTTTTATCCGGAGTTGGCACAGCAGATCTTCACACAAACAGCATATATTCTGGTAGGAACAGACAGGAACCTTGGAGCATAGGAATAAAAGTGCCTGAGTTACCTAGAGCCGGGATAAGTAGAAGCTGTCTTTTGTATTTGTAATTTAATCAGTTGACATAGTTTGGGTCTTACAGCACCATTTATCTCATGAAGTTCAACTTTTTCTATTTCTGGATGTTGTCCAGATGGTACTACCAAAGAAGGAATAAGGAAGAGATGCTTATGTTTCCAACATACATCTTCTAGCAATGAAGTATCAACACCTGATAAACAGATGTTTCTCACAACTTGCTTTCCCTGACATAAGTCAGTCACCTAAACAAAACAGCCCCACAGTTTATTCCCATTTCTAAAACACTATGACAAAAATTTGCTGTTTGTAGCCTCAAAGGTAACAGTTTAAATGTTGCAGTAAGAAGCCAAAATAAACACTTCTTAACAGATGTGCAGGTGGCAGCTGTTTCTTGCAGAGAGCACTTCATTGCAGATATAAAATGTTCTCTCTGATCTTCATTCTGTGTTTTGTGAAGGCTTAAAAAAATGAATGAAATGCTCTTGATTTAGAACACTAGGCCAGCTTTTTTCTTATCAATATTTCATGAATGAATAATCAAATTAGCAAAAATACATCAAGAATACAGCTTACAAGTTAGTTTTCTTCCTTGATAGATTCCCCTACCAGCATAGGCTGATGAAAGAACCTTGGCCTACTTAAATAATTTAAGAGGAAATACAAAGCTATCCTGAACTTCAAAGTGAAAATAAAGTATGTTATTTCCTCTCTTATTTTCACTTGTTGTCTTTCAGGAAATCTGGAAAGTTGTACTTCTGATCCTCCTCCGATCATAAATCCTAATGAATAAAGAATGTAACTGAGAATGGAAGACAATACCAATATACTTCTTCCCAGCAAAGAGGCCTACAACAGGTGTCAAATAGTCTTAGGGATTTTATTTTTCCACTGATGAGAACTGGTTTGCATATGTGTAATGGGAAATATAAAACTCTTTCCTGGGTACAGGAAAGACTAAAACATTTTTTTTGTAAACATTGAATTAGCTTTTTAAAAAAATCCAGATAAGTTTTTTAGGGGTTTTTTTCCCCTAACAATTCTAAATCTATCTCCTGTCACGTAGTTGGCTCTGTTATCAAAAATGGACTTGGGACAGCTGTCAACAGGACATTCTCCAAGGACACAGCAGACTCTGTGTAATACTGTAGTGCAGCCTTGTATCCTTGTTGTTGTAAATATTCAATCCGTCCGTGATCAATCAGCCGTTTACAGAGGCAACCTATCTCCTTTCGTTCTTCAACAGTAAGTATCCTAGTGTCATAAAAGGGAGGAAAAGAATGAACAACATCTGTCAGAGGAAGAGTTTGGTTAGTTAACATTAGTAGTTAAGCTTAGAGAAACTACTGAAATCACTGTAAGTTCAATTTAGTCAGGCAACTGTGACTGTTGATATATTTTGAAATGTACATCCATAAACCCTGTATTTTTAAAGTAAAGTATTTCTGTAAGTTCAGTAATAAGTTTATTTCTGCAAAATGAGTTCTTTTGAGGACCCAAAACAATTTAATGTGCCACTATACATAATTTTGCTTTTCTGTTGGAGTCCATTTGCTAGGAAAAAAAATTACATACCCTTGCCATGTATCAGAACCACTCTCTGTCGTGCTGAACGTTTGCTCATGTTCTTCTGTGTCATTAGTTTGGTCTTCACTTTCTTCACTTGTAGAGGCTTTGCTTGTGGTTTCTCGCATGCCACAAGTGGCCCAACTACTCATTCTCTGGAAATAATGGAATTCTACTGCTCCCAGTCCAACTGATTTAAAGAACTCTCTGCCTACATAATGTGTCCAGTCACATTTGTGATGGCAACACAGAGCAATGACAATTCCAGCTACAGGCTTATGGTCTTCTGTGTTGCTGTCATTACCAGCAGCAGTGTCAGGAGCCACCTCTGTCTTAGCAGTCCTACAGCGTTTTGCTGCAGGCTCTTCATTTTCTCCACCACAGCAAGTTGAGTAACTTTCAACCAAGCATCTCAGAGCCAGATCTGAGAATGAACAGATACACCACCAAAAAAATATCCATAAACACCATGCCATTATTTATACAGGCTCTATCATGATTGGGAATGTACTTCTCATAAAGAAAAATAAAATCATACATCACAAACTAAGCCAAAACACAATTTTAATGATAAAAAAAATTACAAGCATGCTTTGAAAACATGAAAACCCTAAATGCTAAATTAATATTATGAGACCTCCAGAGCTCTTCAGGGCTTATCCTCTGGAATATTTGTTCTACAGAAGTGAATTTGAAACACTTGGGTAATAAATTGGCATACTGTAGGAGAATCTCCTCCCTGTAAAACATGCAACTATTTGCTCCAGAAATTTGATATCTAGGACACATTCTATTTAATATGCACATGTACTTCTTAAATGCTTAACTGTGTCATCTTTGTCACAATGCCTAGAAAGGTGTCATATTTGAGATATCTTTCCGTAGTAAGCATATGATGTTCGAAAAATATTAGTTTAAAATTATCAGGACAGAAACACATTCTTATTTGTTTGCTTGGGATACATTCAAACAGCCAACACAAATTTAAAAGAAAAATATTTCAAAGAGGCAACTGTGCTAAAAAAAGTACTTTCACCAGATTACAAATGACCCATGCCACCACACAGTATTCTTTGTTCTAATCTGTAGAGACCAAGAAAGGCTTTACTTCTGCCTAAACTATCCTTTCACCTATTATCCTTTTACTGTTCCACTGGAGTCAATAGGTAGTTAGAATATAACTGCTATATTCACCAACAAAGAGTTAGAGGGCAAGAAGAGCTTAAAAGGACAGTCTGGAAGATCAGTCCATTCAGAGTGTAAGATTTAGTACCCTAACTTTCTGCAGTTCACACATCTATAATTCATACCTGTTGCAGCACCACACAAATGCTTCCCCATTCCTACCACCGGTAGTTTTTTCTTCTCCAAAATAGGTACCTTACCTGGAGAGGGAAAAAAACAAACAACCAACAACCCCCCCATGCAATCCACAATAACCCTAGCACCTATATATTATTATAGTTGGGGCAACATTTTTTCTGAATAAAATAATTTCTGCACACTTAGAAATAAATGTTTACCACTACTAAAACTACAGTGGTTTGGTCAAAGGAAAGTTTCTTTTACTAAAACAAATGAAAAGAATAGGATGCTGTGGCTGGGAAGCACATTTAACCATTTCAGCCTTTCTATACTGCCTGTGAAAGGTAAATATGACATTAATGCATCTCCTGATGAGAGGTGTTCCCACAAATTCTATAGCATTGATGGTGCATACTTGTACCTAAACCATACAATGCAAAGATGTTTAATCCTGCAAGTTCTAAAAAAAACCTTCAAAATGCACTTGTTTTGGTATTTCTCACCTGTAATGGTGTCCTGCAAGTGTATAGAGTAGAAAACTAAATCTCCATTTAAAATGTGTGTATATATGTACATGCCTGTGTGTTTATATGTGTATACACATAGCATTAACATATCCAAGCAATCACTGAGAATAATCTTCAAAACCAAGACCATTTAAGCATTCTACATACAAACTGACTTGAACCCCAGTATTCGAAATTTAAGAATAAGCCTCTATTTCAGAGTGACACAAGCCAAGAAGGAACTTACTTAAACATAAGTGCTGAATATCAACTTGAAGCCTCTCAAATATAGAATCTCTTCTTTTATGTTTTCCATCCACCTGTTTAAACAGAACAAGATTATTAAGTAGGGCTGGCCACTAATAATTATAATATTGCCAGACCTTTTTCCTGTCAAGTCAACATCTGTGAATTTCCAACATTAAACACCAGGATTTTTTTTCTAATAAATTTGCTACTGGCGAAGTACAGAATGTAGAACTTTTGGAATTTAAATTTATTGAAGTTAAAAATCTAATACTAACAGCTTCAATGGCAAGAGTTTAAAAATCACACTCTGCTAATGTGACAATCCTCTTACCTTGAATCTTGTGGTTGCTCTTTCCACAAGCAAAAACTGCACATTTTCAACATTCTGCAAGGCAACATCAACCCAATGAGACAGCTTTCCTCGCCCAGCTCCAAACTCAACAAAACATCTTCCTGGACCAAGTAAATGCAGTCTTTCCATGTTACCTAAAATAGAAGCCTACAAACATCAAAAGATTATTTGTGAACCAAGCAAATATATACACAGTGTATTTTGATGCCTTATAGAAAAATGATTACGTCACCAAACTGCAGATGACTTTTTCAAGCCTCCCCTTCAGTGAGGGATTAAGGAAAAGATGTTTTTTGTACAAAGGGGTTATACGTTCTGACTAGTCAGCAGTACCCTGCCCTTCTTCCCCTGCTCACAGAACTCCACTCAGAACTCTGTGGAATGGATACTGGGGTTCAGGTACACATTATAATATTCTTCTTGCTGATCTTCAAAGTAGCCATCCAAAATATGGGTACTGTACTGCATTTTCTGTAAAGCATTAGTGCCTGCAGAGCTCTCTCTCTCCTGCAGTTATGTGTTTTGTAATACACAAGAAAGGAAAGTAGAGCACAGGAAACACACATTTCTCACTGTTAAATTTTTCTTCCCAAACCTTTCCATTTTACTACACTATACAACCCATCTCCCTTAAAATTTCTGCTGTTTTAGTACACATTAAAAAGGCAGAAGGTTAATTCAGGCTCTCCAATTCTTTTTGTGCGTCTCTTACACAACCAGGAGACCTAGGACCAGCTCTTACAGCAAAAGTAAAAGATTCCTTCTTAGCAAATATTTTACTTTTTGTAGCTCAGTTTTATTACGAGTTAATAAAAAAATATGAATATATAAGTAATAATTCAGAACACCACACAATTTAAAGTTTATTTCAGTAAATAAGCTTCTGTTATTCACACTTAAGAAAGCAGCCATTCACAGGCTGTATATATGCTATTATTTGAAGAGCACAAAGTTGTAAAGCATATCAGATTTCCTCTATAGGAAGCTACTAGCATTATACACACAGAGTGGCTCAAATTTACAGCAGCACAATTTCACTCCAAACCCATCTATAGCTATTTGTAAATCAGTGACCACACCTGTTGTTTCAAGTGTTTGAAAGCAGATTCCCCATTCTTTGGGTCATTTAAGGCTTCTTGTAAAGCCTGGTGGGACAGTATTTCTTCCTTTAGATGGAGTTCCAGGCCTGCACGGAAATGCAAAACTTTTAGGCATCACTTTCCATTTTCCAAGAGTTCCAGTTTCCAAGAGTTCCTGGTTTGTAACACACGTTACAATAGTGACATGAGCTCAATCTGTAGCACTAGCAAACAGTCTGTTAGGAACATAAATCTCTCATCATATGTTTATAACAGAGCTGTATTGTTATCTGTAGTAATATTTGAGTGGGAAACACAAACTGAAGGGAACAAAGGATAGGTGTTTTATCATTCAATCTAGTTTATTTTTCATAGTAACATTTAGCTGTTGGAGTCTATCTGATAATTACTTCATATGTGTTTAATACCATGTCTCATATTTTTACAGATATCTAACAATGGAAATAACAATGAAATACTTAATCAATTCAATTTAAAACATATTATATCTAGTATTAAGTAAGCTCACCATTACTTGCTTTTTTCAACTTGACAATTAAGTTCTGCAGCTCTTCACTGGATAGAGAAGATAAAGTGACCTTTTTAAGAAAAAAAAAGCCACCTATAAATATATGACCTTTTAAGTTTTCTAGTGCTTTATACTCATATGATAAATTGCAACATGTTATGTAAGGACTGAACTTAAAAACAAATAATTATACTCACTTGCTTTTCTGGTATTTCTGCCACATCTTTTAAACCTGCATTAATATCTTGAACAAAGTAGACCTTTAAAAAATCAAAGAAAAATCTGATTCTGTTAATTACCAGGAAGCAAATTACTACATTCTTCAGCATTTTTATCATAAGATATGTAGCAATAGGTATCCACAGCAAAATAAGATTTTCCACGTAATTTCTCTTCCTATAGTCTGATCCTGAATCCCTGGCACAAATGAGTGTTCTCACACATTTTTACAAGATTGAACATGTTCGCAAGATTTAAGCAGTCAGTGCTTAATTGACTGATTGCAGAGACCATTTGTTATTGTTTCTCAGGTAACAGTGACAGTGCAATACTAATAAGGCAGAAAGGCAATAAAGAAGCCATCTTTTCTGGGAACAGCTTTTAAACACATATTCTGTTCCTTCCCTCAGCACTGGCTGCAAGTGTCTGCCCAGCTTTCCGTGACTCACTGCTGGCCTGCAGGAACCAGGAGTTGGCTGAAAATACCTAGAGCCTCCCTGCTAGTTCTGCTTTCCGAGGAAAACCTCTTACCCAGCCTCCAAAATGAATGGCATTGCAAGAGGCTGTTCTCAGGGTACATTTTTGAGAAAAATGAATTCAGCTTTTTTTTTTTTCTGTAACTAAGAGAACTGAAAAGTTGTACCAAACTACAGTGTGAAGGGACACAGAACAGGAGGAGACTGGAACATGAATTCCATTTCAGGAAGTACTTATTCAGCTTCCATGCTGTCCTTACTGTAGTGCTTGCTAGAAGTGCTGTCAGCTGTTGTCAGCACAACCAATTCTCTACAGAGATGTAATGTTTAAGGTCTTAAATCTGAAAGGAAGTGCTGATTTTACGCTGCACTTACGGGCTTTGGCTTCTCTCTTGAATTACATTTTTTTAAATGCTTTTGTAGTTGGTCTTCATATACAGTGCTAAAATCAAAATGGAAAGAAAAGTAAGTAATAGCATTTGTCATGCGAACTCTGACAAAGAATAGGGAAAGCATTTACATATACTCACTGTTTGGGATCAAGAGGGCAGGGAATTCTTTTTCTGTCATTTTGTTCCTAGTTAGAAAAGTTTTAGACAACAGTTCAGCATGCATTCAGTGTCCTGTTTCAAAAAAGCTGTTTAGGGGCATCGGTTTCATAAAACATCTATTCAGAGGTAGGTGGGTTAACCAGAATGGAGAAACTGAGAGAAGAATGTAATACTTAACTGGATCCTAAAATAATAAACCTATAATGCAACAGCAGCGTTACTGCTGGGCTGCCCGAGTGCCGCGGCACACGAGGGCTCGGAGGGAGGCACAGGCGCTGACAATCTCCCCGTGCTGACGGACCAGGGCCCCGCAGTACCGCCGGGGCTGCCCGAGCCCTCCCGCCCTCCCGGCCGGAGAAGGGGCCCCGCACCTCCTCCTGCCCGTGCTCTCCGCAGAAGCGCCTCCCCGGCGCCGGGACCATCCTGCAGAAGCGCCCTTTCCTCTGCACGAAGTGGCCGCACCGCCCCGGCTGCGGCCCCGCCGCGGCCATCGCCGCTCCCGGCGGCCCCCGCGCCTCCATGTTGTGGCCCCGCCCCGCGGGCGCCCAGCGCAAGATGGCGGCGGAGCGGATCTTCGACCGGGTCGTGCCCGTGCGGCTGCAGGGCCGCGGCTGCGAGGAGCGGTGAGCTGAGGCGGCAGCCGGCCGGGCGGGCTGGGCTGGGCTGGGCTGGGCTGGGCGTCCGCACCGGCTGCGCGGGAGCTGCACTGCGTTCTTTAGAGGGGCTGCGAGCGACAGGCGCTTTCCTCCTCCCCGCTGGCCCCGTGCTCTGAGCGCCGCGCGCAGGAGCATTTCCCGGTCTCTGCGCTTTGGAGCTGCCGTGGGCACCCTCCGGGACACAGGGCAGGGACGGGGTGTACCGAAGCCTGGGACAGCCGGCGGGGCCGAGCGGGTGCTGTGGGTGCCTCGCCAAGGGAGCGGGGCCTGCGGGGCTCCGGCAGCGGAGCGACCGCGCGGAGGCTCCGCAGAAGGGCCGGGGGGGCAGGGACGGGCCCCGCGCTGTGTTTGGCCTCTCCCGGGCGCCGCGCGGGGTTTGTTTGGTGTCTGCCGGGCCCGCGCGGTGAATGTTTGGCGTTTCCCGGGCTGCGGCGTTGCCCGCGGGCGGTCCCGCCTCTCCCCGCTCCTCCCGCCGGAGCGCGGCCTCCCTTGGGCGCGGCCCCTCGGCACCGCCCCGCGGCCCGGGAGAGCGGGGCAGAGCCCGCGCCTCCCCCAGACCCTGCGTTTGAGCCCCCTGGGCGAGGGAGGGAATGGCCGGGTGTCTGGGGCAGCCCAGACGTTCCCGATGTGACCGTCTGTTCAAAGTACAGTGAATACAGCACTGTAGGTCCTGTCTGGATTAGACAGCGTGTGCCTGGCTTGCCTCTGTAAGAAGGCATGTATTGTAACGCAAGTAACTTCTTACTCGACAAGAAGTAAACGAAGACAAGGTAGCACTGTATGATTGTCAGAAGTTTCAGCAATCGTTAAGGAATTCCAACAGGCTGTTCCAAAGGTTATGGTTTCTGGACAAAGTTTCAAAACTTCTGCATTGCTATTTAAAGTTTGTTGGGTAACAAGCAAGCAGCAAAAAACCCAGCAGTGACTGAAGAGCTGCAATGATAACTGAAACTGTTACATCTTAGTAGTAGTCATCAGTGGGAACTTTCTTAATGTTTCTGCTGAAATTTTTGTTTTTGAAATGTCATTGATTCCTGTAATACAGCTGTGAACATGTTGTTTTGAGAATGTTTTCTTAATTTGTTATTTTTTTGTATTCAGGAGATTAAATGTTCGAGTGAATATTGAGCTTCTGTCAATTTCTAATCCTGTTCATAAAAAGGTTGGTAGATGGATCATATCTGTGTCATTCATTAGATATTACGCGAATTCTGTTTTATAAAAGGATAAATAGGCAAAGGAGATAGGATTTTAGCATTTGTCATTTGACTTTATTTTATTTTTTATATAATTTGTTGAGTAATTAAGTTGGTTTGAGATGATGTGGTTTTTTTTTTTCTCCTAGCCTTTTTAGCTCTCACTTTTAGTTTGGTTGTACATGGGTCTTAGTAAACTTGTATGTTAAAAGTATTTGGAGACCCTCAGGGGAACATGGATTAGAGCTTCAGAACAGTACCTGATACTAAAGGTACTTAGTCTAAGGTACTAAATTGGCAGTAAAAAAAATAGCTCCTATCTTAAGGAAAGTAGCAATGAGATTACAACATCTCCAGTATATGTCTAAATTGTCACTTAAACTGTGTATGTGCACTCAGCTTGCTGTTAAGATTGATCATGAGTTAGTTATAGTGTTATTGAGTAAAGATTTGTTTGTAAAGGAATACAGCATTTTTTGGAAAGATTCTCCTGATGGTGGCAGTGATAATAGTAATTCTTCACAGTGTGAAGAAGCAGTTCATGGAACTGTGTTCTGTGCTGCAGGCTGTGTCAGGAGGAGCCTGGAAGTGCAGTTGGGTACATCAGTGAGCAGTCAGTCTGAAAAGACAAATGCTTCATCAGTTAATGGGACATCAGACTAAGCAGGTGCTTTTATCCCACGCATCAGTCTGCCCCATGTGCTCAGGGTGGTGTTAGTGTCAGTGTAAACTGTCTGCATGTGTCAATCCCTGAGTTTGTGCATCTCCAGCTGAGAGTTTTGTTGGTGTTACTGGCACCTGAATTACTGAAATGTGTTTCTGTTCTGTATCTGTACCTGTGCTGTGGTCACGCTTCAGTTATGTTGGAAGAGCTGTCAGGTTTCTACTTTTTTACCTCTGCTAGGGAATATTATATTCTTCACCCAGGTGTGAGCCTTATTACAGGGAACAGGTGCCTGGGCCTGATGTACCAGGTGTTTTACATAAGCCCTTCCTTGTAGTTCAAGACTTAGTGCTTTCAGAGAAGGCAGTTTTTCCAAAACACTGTGTAGACCTCCAGTGAACAAATGAGCGTCCCTTTAAAGGCTAAGCAGCATAGTGCTGCAGTTTTCCTTATGAGCTTACTGGACTTCAGCTGTATCCATTCTATATTCACTTCACACTCCAGCATATAAACTCTTCAGATGGTGGTTTCTTAAACTTTAAGGAGCAGTATGCTCTGAAAAATTTCCAGTTTTGGGAGTGATGTGTTTGTGATCTGTTACAGTGGACTGCGAGTGCTGCACTCTATTTCATGATGGGAAAAAATAGCAAATAGTTTTCTTTCCGGAAAAGGATGAATACACATGGAATTTTGAAAACTTTGCTGCTCAAAGTTGAAGCTTTTTACTTGGTTTATTTTTGTGAAAAACCTTGTTTTCCCACTGTAATATTTGAAGTTGTGTTTAACGTTTTACACATTCTGAATTAGTTGCCACAATTCTGTTGTATTTTTGGTTAAACAGTTAATACTGTTTAAAACATTTAATACTGTTTGCAATATCAGTTTAAAATTTTTAAACACTCCTGGGTGGTTAATAGTATTTTAAATCATATTTAAATGTCCATCTTTTCAGGACTTAGCCGTTCGATTGACTGATGATACTGATCCTTTTTTCCTTTATAACCTTGTCATATCTGAGGAAGATTTTCAAAGGTAAGTGAAATAATAATATTTTCTCTGCAAAATGTTTCTAAATGGCAAAAAAGAATGAGGGAATGTGTTAGAATTTAGGTTTTTACATTTTTCTCTTGTGGAGTTTGGTCAGTATTTCGGCAGCATTGCTCTCTCCGAGCAGTTGGTGAAACAGCCAAGTGCAGGAGAGTGATCGGCTCAGGGTTATACAGGTGGATCTGGGATCCTCATGTCAAGTTCCCTGTGTAGATGCAGTGCCACAGTTCATATTACTGATTGCATCTTGTGTTTATAACTATTTTTTTTGACTACATCAGGAAATAAATCTGCATGGACATAGATTCACAGACCTTGTATACCAGTTGTACTGTCAGGTCTCATTTAGTTGCTCAGAATTTGATCATTGATCATCAAATTTGGGCATCAAGCATGAAAAGTTCAGTTTTCTGCTTTCTTTGGATTTGTTTGTGTGGTTTTGTTTTTGTTTTGGGGGTTTTTTTTGGTTGCTTGGTTGATATTTTTTGTTTGTTTTGTTTTTCTTGGGGGGAGCATTTCAGTGTGTTTGTTTTTAAAAAGAGAGGTGTGGTCAGTGTGCAGACCAAAAGGCAAAAGTAAAATAGTGTTTGCAAAGCAGAGGTGCAGAAGTGTTTTGTTATACAGAGGTACAGCTTTGTGCATTCGGTGCTGGAGGTTTCTGTCTCTGACTTTACTGTGTCTGTGATGAGGGGGAGCAGTTGAATAGACAAGTAGGCAGATAGTCTTGGTGATGAGGGGGTCTCCCCTCACTGTCCTTTGCCTCTTCCGTGTGCCCTGTCCAACAGCCTCTGTGCTGTGAGGAAGTTACCTACTGAAAGGAGCACATTTTGTTGTGCTACAATAATTTCTGTGAAAAAACAGTGCAACTCATTTGCAAGAACTCTTGAAATCAAAAATATCCTCCTGTGGTCACATTTCTTACGTTTGAAAACAGCATGCTAGTAAACCTTAATGACATGATCAGAATTTGTTCTTTCTACTAGTGTGAACAAAACATTTTATAGGAAATAAATTTCACTTCTATATATTGTTAATATTTTTTTTCCCAATCTGTTTATATAGTTTGAAATCCCAACAAGGTCTCTTGGTAGACTTCTCTGCTTTCCCACAAAAATTTATAGATCTGCTTCAGCAATGCATTCAGGAACAGAACAAAGACACCCCAAGGTAGGTTATAAGCTTGTGCCGTGTTACTCTGTATGTACGTGTTGAGTTCTTAAAATACTTGTCAGTCCCTCAGGCAGAGAAGAATCAGTAGAACAAGGATAATTTAACGTGCCCCTGTAACAGACAAAACCCAGCTCTCGGGAGGACTGAGCGGTGGAATTGGTGTCTAGTAACAGTCTCTGCATCTGAGTTGAAGCTGGCAAGCTTCACAAGCTGGCAGATGGGCAAGAATGCAGTACTGTTGGTTTTGGGTTTGTTCTGTTTTGTTTTCTTATCTTTTAATAATTTAATGCTAGAGAGCTGATTTGAAATCGGTGGAGTGAGGTATAAATCATCCTGTTTCACAGGAGAAGGCAAGGTTATAAGGCATTCTGACAATGATTTATTTTCCTTCCTTTCAGTATTCAGGTATTAAAATGTGAGGGGGGAGACCTGAGATGTAGTCTTCCTTTTAGTGGCCTTTTGATATGTTATTTCTGTTTGTGTGGGTAGTGAGGAAAGCCCCTATACTCAGCTCCACTCCAAGTACTCGGGCTATTTCCTGAGCATGTCCTGTGGGCTGTGGATTTTACTTGTTTGTAGGATACCTAAAAGTTAGGGGTCTGTTTTCCTTTTGAATTTGGTTACAAAGACCCTACTTGGTTTTGCACTCCCAAGTCCAAGATGAGCTGCTGAAAATTTTACAGATAAACAAACTGGTTAGTTTTGTACATTCCTTATTGTAGGGTGGAAGCATTTTAGTTGATTTTTTTTTTTTTAGTATTAACTGTGACATAGGGATTGAATTGTATAATTCTTTCTCAAACAAAAACTGGACAGCCTTTTAATGCACATAAACAAATACATTTTACTTGGAAATAGCTTGTAGGATCTAAAGGTAGTTTCAGAAAAAGATATGCTTAACATTTGATTATTTTGGTTTTTCCCCAGGTTTTTGCTGCAATTAGTTTCTTCAGCACCTGCTCTAGATCACACGCCTGTCTCTTTAAATGTAGTGGAGACCAATCCTTTTAAACATCTTACCCATCTTTCTCTAAAATTCCTACCAGGAACTGATGCAGAAATAAAGAAGTTTTTAGCCAACTGTTTGAAATGCCTTAAGGTAAAATGAAGGTTTGTCATAACTGCAATTAGGCCTTGATGCTGTGTGTACTTAAGCATTTTTTTAGTCTGAATGCTTCAGAAGTATGTACCACATTGGTTTATTTTTCCTTTTAGCTCATATATGTCATTGCATGCAGCCACTTGGGTGCACGTTATGAAAACTAAACTATTGCTGTCACTCTGGCAAGGAAAATATGACCTGTGTATTCAGCCAAGCCCTGTCACTTGCACTGAAAGTGAGGTATTTTCCACACACAGTGCATGTGCTGTGCATCTGTTGGATGCCTCTGGATGCCTCAGTGTCTCCTGTGGCACAGCCTGTGCTGATGGACAGAGCAGCTGCAGGAGTAACTTACTGTAACCTTGTCCTCTTGACTCTGCAGTTGGGTGTAGGAAAGCTCTCCATGTAATTGTGAGGCTTATGGACTGCAAGGGGCTTGTAGCTATAAATAGCAAATTAAAATTGGAATGTTGATGCAGTTGGTAGCATACTAGGTTTGATTTCAGGAGAAATTAAAGGTCTCACAGTTTGGCTGTTGTCTGTTCCAGTTTCACAACCTGGGATTTGTATTTCTCCTACTGTGCTGTCATGTTTGTAGCCACCTGATAAACCATTTTAATAACATACATTTAAAGTATTTCAGTTGATTTCTTGTTCACGTCACACCTTTGTAAATAAGTCTTCATGATAAGATACTATTATAAAAGTTTGGTAAAAATTTAATTCAGGGTTTTTACATTGTGGGCTAATGCCATTCTTTTAAATTTATTAATTATATCTTATTCCATATGACATTTAATAAGGGGATTTTTTTTTTCACAAGTACAGTGGGTATACAGTTTCTTAGGCAGCCAATGCTGATTAAATGGAAGCTAAATACTACTTGTATTTTGGGGGCTGAGGATTTGATGTGATGTCAATTTGTACATAGGAGGACAAATTGATGTTGGAAGAAAAGCTTAGAAGAACTGAAGAGGATCTTACCAGGCAACTGAGCTACACTCAACAGGTAACGTAAATTTTTAGCTTTTGTAGGTTACAGTTTTTTGATCTGTGGAAAACGTACAAATGTTTTTGTAGGCTGAGTGATTAGCCACTACCTAGCCAAGATAATTGACTTGGAAGTGAGTGAAAAGAAGAAAACAGTCTACTGTAGCTTTTCTAAAGAATGACTAAAGCCTGCAACTGAAGGATTAAATTTAGTTCTTGCAGTACTAAATCAGAGTTTTACTTTATTTTGTACAGAGGTCTGTGTATACACACACAAATTTAATACTAAATACGTGGTAGTCTGAAGATAAATGATAAATGTACTTTACATAATCAATGAATGGTTGGAAATCCTTTTATTTGGAAAAACTGTGAAACCATGGTAAAAAAAGTGGAAGTCTTGGACTTCAAGTTACTTGACTCCTTTTTGCTTTTTGTAGTCAGCACAGTAATTACTTCACCTTTGGGTTACAAGAGAACGATTCGGGTCAATTTCTGCTATTAGCAAGGTGACTTTTTTGACTGTCATGAAACAACAATTCCATTAAAACTCCTATTATGGAGCTTTTTTGGAGAGGAATATTTGTTTACAATTTCAGTTTGAGTTACTGCAATGTGTTTGCTGAATTGAAATGCAGAATTACAGATCAAAAAGAGGAAAAGATGCTGCTGAAGAGTTTTTTTTTTTTTTTCCCTACTAGAGTGGTCTGTGATACAAGGGTAGGGAACATCAGCAGGCTGGTTTTTCACTCTGAAGTAGTGGTTTGAAGAAAATACAATTGGAGATGAAATTACTTTATTCACAGTGTCAAAGGTGCTCTTAAGCTTCTCAGTGCCTTACTTTTCCTAGTTACACAACAAACAGATATTTTGGCATCTGATGCTGAAATTTAGACTTTTCTTAATAATTCCTTTTAGTAAGTAACAGTAAAGAATCATTCAGTATTGACTGAAATGCTAAAATTTTTAAAAGTCTATACGCTTTGTCAAACTTAAACAGAGCTTGTCAGAGAAGAGCCGAGAACTAGACAAACTGAAAAATGAATGGACATCATACACTACAACTCTAACCAACAAACACTCACAGGAGCTGACAAATGAAAAGGAAAGAGCTCTTCAGGTATCATGGTGAAAAAGAATTAACAATATTCTTACATGTGAATAGTCAGAATCATTGAATAACTGCTTAATTTCTTTGCTTCCCACAGGCACAAACTCAATACCAACAACAGCATGAACAACAGAAAAAGGAATTGGAAACTTTGCATCAGAAAAGTATTCAGCAGTTGCAGAACAGACTCTCAGAACTCGAGGTCATCAATAAAGACCTAACAGAGAGAAGATACAAAGGAGACTCTACAGTCAGAGAACTGAAAGCAAAACTTTCAGGAATAGAAGATGTAAGGCTTCTTAATTTCTAAAACCAAACTTACTGGTGTTAGAGCATTAACACTACCTGCCTGGGCATGTAATAGAAAATACAGCATATTGAGTTTGTTCATCTCCTCTTCATTCTGCATTATACTTATTATTTAGATATATCTGTTTAAATTACTATTAATTTAAAATACTAATAATTACTATTAAGGTTTTTCTAAAGAATAACATTAAATTCCTTCCCAACATTCTAGGAATGTCAGAGAGCAAAGCAGGAGGTGCTGTCACTGCGTCGGGAGAACACGACTCTGGATGCTGAATGCCATGAAAAAGAGAAACTCATTAATCAGCTACAGACCCGGGTGGCTGTTCTGGAACAGGAGATCAAAGACAAGGATCAGCTGGTTACTAGAACAAAAGAAGTATTAGATGCAACACAAGAGCAAAAGGTTCTTCAAACTTCAAAATAAATTTCTCTAAACTCTCTAGAACCTTCTTAATTGTGGCTTCCATAGGGTAGCAACTGACCGTTTTTTTGAATACAGCAAGTCAGCTTTTAGATGTAGTTAAGGTTCTGAATTATGGCATCAAAAGTATACTGGATTCAGTTTTAATATTGTGGTACTGGAGTACAGTTAGTGGTATTTTTTGTAAGAAAAAAAGAATTGAGATCCTGTGAAATTTGACTGAAAAGCAGGGACTGATTTCTTGTAAGGATAGCTCTCAATTATGGAGGTTCTACTTGAAATCATAAGTGATGTCTATCACAACGTTGTTATATTTTGTAATATTCTTTTTAAGGTGATACTGGAAGAGAGTACAGAGGAAAAACAGAGGCATATTGAAAAACTAGAGACAACAATTAAGTCGCTGTCAGCTGAACTCCTTAAGGTTTGTTCAACCATGACACTTTCCTTGTGAAACATCTTCCTTATTTTTAGGTGTTTATTTTGATAATGTCTTGGGTTTTTTTAATAGGCTAATGAAATTATCAAGAAGTTACAAGGAGACTTGAAAACTCTAATGAGTAAATTAAAATTGAAAAACACAGTAACAATTCAACAGGAAAAACTATTGGGAGAAAAAGAAGAGAGACTTCAAAAAGAGCAGAGGGAATTGCAGGAGATGGGACAATCTCTTCGAGTGAAGGAGCAGGAGGTATTGTGATAAGTTAACCCTCTGTCTTACAAATCCTATTGTATGTACTGTGTTGGGTTTTGTGTGTTTTAACTTATGTAAGGTCTTAAATCTTTCTGTGGAATAGAATATACTTATATGTAAACAGCTATGTTGATTTCCATATGTGTAATATACTTAAATGTGTAATCAGCTTCAGTTTTTTAATTTTAAACTGATTTGTAAGATCCATTCATATGGAAGAAAACTAAATTGTATTAAGAGTACAAAGCAATATAATGGATAAATCAGCATCCTTAAAAGACACATTCATGTAAGGTTGGTGAAGGAAGCAAGAACAGGAACAGAGTGAACCTTTTTCTTCTATTAAGTGTGTTCCCCTGTTTAGAGTCTTTGCATTATTTAATAATAGAAAAATAAAGGTCAGAAAGGATTCTGGCTGTAATCTTGCTGAAATCCTGGCTAAAAGTAGGAGTTTACTTTAAAAGAATTTCCATATTGCTTTTGTAAAAAACTGAGTTCAAACTTCTTTTAGAACAACTTCATAGATGCTTATTTTTGTTGTTGTTTGTAGTTACTAGTAGCTCCTGATGGTGTTATAATTATTATGGGACTATTACAGGTTTGCAAGCTACAAGAACAGCTAGAAAGTACAATGCAAAAACTAGAAGAAAGTAAGCAGCTACTGAAAACCAATGAAAATGGTAGGTTTATACAGTTTCATTTCTCCTTCTGTAAACATGACAGAAATGCTACTGAAAATTAATGGAATCATCTATATTGGGGTTTTTGTGAAGAGCTGCAGTTGCTGTCATGTTTGGAAAACAACTTCTGGCTGTTGTGGGTGTGCAACAGCCTAGAGCTGCAAGTAGAGAAGGCTTCCCTTGGAGCTGGTGCTTGGCATTGTGGGGTGCAGTGCTCAAGCTTGGAGGGGTAGAGGAAACTTCAACAAACGGGCTTTTCATGGCTCTGGGACTCCTAGTGATGCCTCAGCTTAAGGAGGAAAAATAGCCCATCGAACTGTCACTTTTTTTGAGGAAGGGCTAGTTGCCATTTCAAACAACTCGTAAGAGGTAGGAAATGAATTTGAGCTTTTTTTCCCTCTGCAGTGATCAGCTGGCTGAACAGACAGCTGAGTGAAGTTCAGATGGCGAAGAGGATGGACACTTCTGCCAGCACACACGGCGGTGGTAGGGCTGCCTGCTCACCTCATGGCATGGTAAGACAGAGCTATGAATAACAGGGTTGGATGTGGTCATTACTTCTGAAATGTGTGGCCTTAAAAAGGTTTAAAAAAAGAAGTACTTTCATCATCTTTGGGCCTTAAAGTTTTGGGTGGGTGTGGTTTGTGGTTTGGTTTTGGTTTTTTTTGTTTTTTTTTAACAACATAATATCCTGTTGGGTGCTACTTGATGTCTTGGGCCTCATAGGTGAGATTTTTCTGAGTTCTCATTTACATAAAATACACAAGCCAATGCAGAATTGACTTGGAAAAGATGAAGTGCAAGGTGAAGGGGAAAAAAGAGGCATTTTTATGTTGTGAGGTTAGATTACTAATTATCTTAGTATAGACTGAAAAACAAGTGTACTGTTTGAATACTGTTACTAGTGATACTTAAAAACAAGAAAATAAGGGGTAAGAAACATTACCTGCAGTCATTGTTAAATACCACAACTTAGTGGTTCTTCCTCTGTGTTGTGACAGCAGAGATCTGTACCTAGTAACTGATGAGCTGCTTGTTCAGTAATGGAAGGGCACGTTCACACAGAGAGGTCTCTTGATTTATAGCTGGGTACATCCAACACATTAATCAGTTATAGGCTGTGTAGCTTTTTACTGGCTAAGAGTGCTCAACTCATCTCTTTAAAAGTTGCAAGTTTTGCTTAAGCATGTGAATCTTGGAGAAGTGATGTTTTCTTCCCATCAGGAAGAATCACAAGTGTTGGCTTTGTAATGGTGGTGGTTGGTTAATTTTGGAATTTTGAGTCTCTATAAACAATTACTTTAAGGATTGTGTTTCTACTTTATGAATGTATTCTATTTCTTTTACAGCCTGACAGGCCATCCTTTCCAAGCTCAGCAATCAGTCATCCCATTTCTCCTCTGTATGCCTTCCAGAACTTCCTGGAACCAACACACAGCAAAAACACCAGTTCACCATGTCCAGTACCAAAGGCAGGCACTTTGACTTTTTTGTATGATAAGAATGTGACAGCATAAAATACCAAAGCATAGTGTTGTGTCTACTTCTCAAAATACATGAAGTATTTGCTGTATATACTCTCAAGCTCCCTGTCTTGGACATGATCACCCGTGGCTTAATGCTTGTCCTTAGGGTGCTTATTCTCCCAGGCTGTGCTGCACAGCAGTGCTGTGTGAGGTGTAGGATCACTAATCCCTGGGAAGTTTGCTCTCTGAATGCACTCACTGGTGGGGACTGTCAGATCTGGAGAGGAGCTCTTTAACCTGCAGCTCTCTTGTCTCTGCAGGTTCAGTTTAACACACAGCTTTCTAAATTGAATCGATGTTCAGATGCTCAGACAGTCATTGCAACCAGTCATCCAGCAAATAAGGAGAAGTAAGTGTCATCTACTGCATTTTTAGTATTTTTTATTATTATCTTTGTATTTATTATTTTTATATAATTACATATTCATTATGTATTAAGGTATAAATATAAAATAGTTTTTATTACTATAATATATATTATATATATAATATATATATATAGGCTGTTCTTAACCTACTCAGCAATAGTTCAACTTTAAATGGTAAATAAAGTTGTTAGAAACACAGTAGTTTCACTTCAAGTGTTCGAGTCTGTAGCCATACTTGTTGTAATGCACTGATAGCAAACTGCATTTGCTTTAAATTTTAATTAGCCTTTTTATTTCTAGTGGTGATCATTTGGGGCTGGAATCCAAGTATCTCAAGAAAAAAGATGACAGCATTCCTTTACGAGGGCTTAGTCAGAACACGCTCAACTCGGGTATGTATGAAATAGTAGAACTAGACTTTATTTGAAATGTGCTTGAAGGGCAGTGACAGAGGTGGTTCTATGAAGTGTTTGTGCTGTTCCACAGAGTACCTGAGGCCATACGTGCCAGCCAAAGCCCAGCCGTTGCCCAAAGCTGCAGGAACACCGGCCTCGGCTTATTTTCCTGGATAATAGACAGGGTTCTGACAGTCAAAGTCGTCTCTTAACCATTTGGGGGAAGTTTTGAGTGTCCTGTAATAGTGTGTTAATAGAGCATTGCTGTGAACTGACATAATTTTATAAGACAGTTTTCTTTGAGAAAGGTTATCTTGACTGACTGGGGTGATGTTTCAGGGTATGTGAGCCTGAGAAGATAAAGCTTTAAGCAGCCTCAGTGGGACCAACACTGACAGTAAGTTATGGGGCTGTGCAGAATTTTCTCTTAGTATATTGTTGACCCTGTAATGGTCCTAAAACCCCACCAAAGTGCTCTTTTTTATAACAGGTGAGATGTACATTCCCTGAGTGAGAACATATATCTGTGAGTTTCTATTTTTTGACTCCTTTCAGAGAAAGGATGAGGCAAATGGAAAGCACTGGAGAAGAGGGCTGTGCTGCCAGTTTTAGTAATGGTCAAGCTAATAAGTTAGCACAAGTGCCTCACTAATCCTCCCTTAATTTTAGTTTTAAACACTTGCTTAACTTTTGAACCAGCTTATTTGAATTGCATACATATCTAATATTAAAGATGCTAAATTATTTCACTGATGGTATAAAATTAAACTTAAAATGTCTCACTCTTGGTTCCCCTAACTTTTTAGTTAATCTCTCAGAATTACATTCCACAGGCCACCATGCATAAAACATTATAAAGTGAAGTATCTGAATAGGTAACTATTGACAAGTATCACAACATCTATAAGATACTTTATTTTTACAAATCGTACTTTACAGCTGTAAGACTACACAGAACGTTAAGATACTCTAAGTCTACTCAGCTTGCTCTGCTCTCTGGGTTCAAATGCCTGAATCATGTAACAACCCATTTTGTGCCATTTGGTGTCCCCCTCCAGAACCAGTAGGCATGTACAGGCACAGTACACTTAAAATGATTATTTCCATACTTCTGTTACAGATGTTCCATACTTTTTATCTTAGTTATTTAAGTGCAGCCTGAGGATTGTACATTTAAGTGGTTTGTTTTGCTGTGTGAAATGTGTACATTTGTTTATAAATCAGCACCATGTTAATGTATATTCACTGGTTTTGTCATGTGTAAGTTTCAATGGAAATATTAAATGTTTTTTATCAAAAGCTCTGATTATTAATGTTTTAAGGGTACTAAACCAACATCTCCATTGTACCGAAATTCCCAGATGAGGCAGGTGCCAGAACAGCACTATTTATTCCACCCTTGTCCTGCAGTTTCCTTTCCCCACCCGCTGTACAAATTCCCCCCTGGCAGCCACCCTGTGCTTACAGCCCCATTTCTAAGGGTCCGTTGGTGTAAGTGACTGAACTTGCTGTTTGTCTCCACCTGCAGATGAGCTGCTGTCAATCAGAGGGTGGCAGCTTTCCAGTCTCCCAGGCCTCTTCACAGCAAATACAAAATAGAAGCTTAGTGGGCCAGGGCCGACTGATCCCTGCAGCACTGGAAAGGGTGGCTGTGTGTAACTAACTGACCTGTTTCTTGGAGCCTGGATCTATGGCCATCCTGTTGCCTTTGCTCCCCCAGGAAACAAGGAGCCAGCTGCAGCCAGCCTGTGCTGCTGGATAGCAGGGATAATTCCAAGGCTGCTTTATATCTGACACATAAAACCTGCTGCACCTGTACTCCAGCTGACTTTGCTCATCTGCTGAAGTGTAACACACGTGCACTACAGCACTTCAACTAAGGTTTTAAGAGACGTTAACAATTATTTAAAAATTCATTAAAATATTCAACTTTATTAACAGTATATTTACATATCTTTTTTCCTGCTCTTGGTCAACCATGGTGAATGTTCAAAGGTAAAAAAGCATTAAGCAATAACCACAAGATGAAAACATTTTAAACCTATACAATACTTTATACACAAATTTATACAAAGGAACACTTAAATAATACAACTGGACACAAAAATATACACTTTTAGAGAAATTCACATCAGTAATTGTATATAAAGCTCTCTTCTGTACTAAGGGTCCTGAAAATTTAGGACTAAAACTTTAGCTCTGTAATGCAAAAGGGTTATTGTGACAGTCCTCAAAGGCCACTATATAGCACACGGACAGATTCAAGGCTATCAGCTTATAGTTCAGTCTGTGTTTTCAAGTTTTGAGGTCCTTATGATTACGCAAACTTCAGAAATATAGTGGTATAATAAACGGTGCGTAGGAAAGCAGAGTTTTAGAGCCAATATTAAAATTTGTAGGCTCAAAACACCCACTTACTATTTAAACAAGTGTTTGACACTACCGTTTATTCAAAAATAGAAAGAGTAAATGCACTTACATAAAAAATAACTTTTACTGTTCAGCAAGCGTGCTCATGTGATTTTTGTATTAGTACAAACTTAAAAAAACCTGCCATGTGACTTTTAAAAGAAATGATACCAATTTACCTTCTTCCTACTTGAGTACATTTACATTAAGGCTTTGAATCAACTGACCCAAGATTTTAAAACGAATGGGTCCACACAGATGCCAGTATGTCTCATTGAGACGTAGCGTGACTAGAATTAAAGCTCACCACCGTAAGGAAACAGAAGGACACATGCTCATGCCTGGACTCTACTTTTTGTCTCTGAACTAGAATGTAAAGTTAAGTTTAGCAGTAACAGTATTTCATGGCAACAGACGAGTATGTAACAGTTTGTTTATAAAAGCAAGTAAGTTTTTAGTTCAATGGCAACATCTTTGGAGAAAGCTCCTGTTTTAATTCCTACAGATTTCATGCAGAAAGATACTTCTTAAGATTACCTTAAGAAATTACATTTTGATGGAATTGGAATGTGTATCCCAAACTGCTGATGAAAAGAGTCCAAAAGGTCTTCCTGGATTTTCGTCATACGTTTGTATCTTGCAGTAATGGTTCTTTAGCTTCACCAGGAGCTTGTGGGCTGTGGGGATGGCCATGGCTGCCACAGTGTTTCTTCCAGTTGCTGGATCGTACGTTTAGGTTTGTGTGTTCGGGAATAAACAAGGCAACAAGTAGTGCCAACAGCACAGAGCACGCTCCAAATAAGAATGGGGGTCCAGGAATAATGGAATTCTGAAAACAACATGTTGTGGTGTTACTGTTGTTAAGGAGCCCTTAAATGCACATTAACAGACTACAGTTGCTAATTATCCCAATTTCTGGAGTGGGAAGAGTTGTTTCTGGATACACTTGTCAATACAGTGGAGTCTTTTACAAATAATGTGAAAACAATGTTACATCCTAACATTTAGGACAAGGGAGCACATGATTCTTATTAACGCCTGCCATCGTCCTTTGCTAGGGCAAGTTCTTCCTGCTGAGTTTCCTAAACAAATTAGTATCTATTAGAAACTAAAAAAAATAGAGAGGTTGGTTAAAGGACAACAAAACCAAAACATGCACTACTGGTACACTGTTGGTATCAGTCCATCCTTCCCTCTAAGTGTTCTGCTCACAAGGGTCACAGTTGTCTATGACTATCAGCTGTATCTACTGGAAAATTAAACTAAACCAATACATCTGTTAAACAAACAGACCAACAACCCTGCCCAAGACAGACTCAAGAACGTCTTTCTACACCCTTCACTTACAGTTATTGTAACTGAACGTCACACAGCATCAAACTCAAGAACTGATGGGCACGTGATCCCTTCCTAACTTCTTTTTTTTGGAAGCAGTAAGTAAAAAAAAGAAACATACCTGTTGTAAATGGTATTGTGCAACCACACTACCTCCTGATGGTGATTCAGGCATGGGCAGTTCATTCAATTCAACGTGAAATATATAGAATATAAAACCATAAAGTGCTGGTCCCAAACCATTACACAGTCCTCGAATGCCTGTTATCATCCCTTGAACAACACCTGGGAAAAGCAAAATACCCTGTTCTCATCTATCTGTATTTATACATATATAATTAACTATTTCTAATCAATCAGTAAGACTTCCCCTTCAAACTGATGCAAGCAGGAAAGCTCTAAATGCTGTTGCACTATGTGTAGCAATAAACAAGGGGTGCAAAAAGCTTGTCATGGTACATTCGAGTGGTTTTTCCATCTGCCTCTAGCACACAGCAGTACTTGCCATGCTGAGCTCATTCAGAGGCCAGGAGATAGACAATATCCCTGCTGTCACAGTCTCACACGAGAGAGAAAGCACTGCATGCAACAGTGAGGAAAAGGAACAGTGCATTAAGTCTGCTGAATATTTTGCTACTGCTGGGACCTGATGAAGGTTTTCGCTCTGTGCCACAAGTACGAGATAGACACACTCTGCACCCTCCAAGCCATGTGGATTTAACACGTGGTGCCCTGTGCTCAGGAGGCTGCCCAACGAGCAGCACGACGAGACCCCAGTGTTTCTGTCTGCACAGTATTCTGTGACTAGAATTCCAAGATCCAGGAAAAAAACCTACCCTGCTGGTCGGCATCAGCAGTCCGTGAAACCAGGGCACTGACAGCTGGGAAAGTAATGCTGGACATGGCTGCCACGGCACCGGCTGCCCACATCATCCTGCAAAACACACACTGGGATCACTGCCTGGCGGGGCTGGAGCTCTGCTGGGAGCACATAAATGCTGGCTATACCTCACACACACTCGGCTGTCTCCCTTGGATAACGGGTAAAATGCAGACAAATACTGTACCATGCAGAGACTGAAATGCAATGTACTTACCATGGTTCTGATCCAAAGCCGTACCACGCAAGCTGCAGTATTTGAAATCCTAGGCCCAGTAGGATGGTATTTTTATTTCCAATGGACCGCATAAGTAAGCTCAAAACTATTGTCTAACAGGGGAAAAAGTGACAAAAATAAAATCAGAAAAATAACATTTTATTCTAAATGTTAAACACAGATGAGTTGATGAGTTAATTAATTAAAAACACAACAAAACCCCTGAAAACATTTTATTCTCAATGACAAATATATGCAAATAAAGGTTTTAGAGTAAAATTCTCCAGAAGCAGTAGTTGCCTCTACCCAAAAAATAGCAATTATTTAGCAAGTAATATAACCAAACCATCACGCCTTCTTTGATGCACAAAAGATTTAGTTTTCCCAACACAATACATATCAGATATTAATGAGCTAAACCCTGGTTGTCAAGTACTTTTTCATCTATTATAGAGTGTTAATCAATAGTTAGAGATTTGGAAAAGACCAGCTATAGAAAAGGTGAGTGACAGTTATGGAACCACAGTGTTCCCAAAGTTCTCCACAGTGCTTCATTCTTTTGAACTTAGCAAATCAATGACACACAGAGCAATAACTGACCTGTGCAATAATGGAAAGAATCCCAAGGACTGCTATAAATGCTGCAACACTTTCAGATGAAAATCCCATTATCTATATTAAAAAAAGGCAATTTGATTACTAATCATAAACCATGTATCAGGATGTCACAAACACAGTGAGAAAACACACAACACAGAAGACCAGTATTACTCAGCTCCTCCTTAACTTAGAAAATCTAAGTCGTGGGGTTAGGAGATTTTTTATTACATAAAGCAAGTATACAAAAATAAAGGAGCATAAATTGAAAACAATTAAATAGTTCTCTCAAAAAATAAAACCAGTTTTAACATATTGAACCTTGTAGTCCAAGAATAATGAAAATAACTACAAAATACAAGAAATTGTTTTAGAGCTCATGTCTTTCTATAAAGAGAGAAAAACAGAACAGCAAGAGGACTTAAATCAGCTGCTGGAAACTTTTAAATTATACTAGTTATCTACACCTTTCATACTAACTCAGCAATTCTGAAAACTTTCCTAAATTCTGTGTATTTACTTTTGTTCAAATCCATACCAAAACATTACATTACCTGTCTGAGGTATAGGAAGAAGCTGGAATATTGACCTGCCTCTGGGAGGTAGGAAAGAAAGACTGTTATGCAGATTAGCAGCACAATGGAGTCCTGGCCGACTTTCTTCAGTGACTGTGGCAAGAAAAAAGTATAAAACATTACAAAACATTCAATCTCCTTTTTCAGAAATTGTCCCTAGCTGGGATCTGAAAAGCCCGACAATGAAGCTGTTATGTGGTACCACCAGAGCATTCCCTGCACGTTTAGCAGGATTGCTGGCAAAAGTATTAACAGTGGAACAAGGTCAAATTTAAAAAAGAAAGGCTTTGTTTTTAGGCTTGAAACACAGTAAATTCAGCCTCTTCCCTTTCTCTGAAGCTCAACATCTCCAAATAAGAAAATATTCCCTATTTAAGTAGCTTACTGCAAAAGGGTCAGCCTGCTCCCACGAAATGGGTGCTCCCCAGGATGCTGGCCTCATCTTCTCTGGCAGCGATTCTGGTACAGCAACAAGGATGAAACAAATGTCCAACAAGGCTATTGCTGTAGCCAGGACCACAACCAGGCTGTCTCCGTACACTCGACCAAGGTAGGCACCGATAGCAGGGCTGGTGACTAAACTTGCCGCAAAAGTTGCTGAAACCTGGAACAAAGCACAGCTGGTAAGACTTCAGTGACACAAGTCAGCAGTGTTATTACCCACACCTCCTCATCTTCAGAGGCCTAACCATTTTAATCAGGCAGTGATTAAAAGTAGCCTTTTTACTGTCCCTATGTGGTAGCAGCTCTGTGTTTCAGAAAATCACAGGTTTTCAAGAAAACCCTTTTCTGATAACTGGACAGCAATGTGAGGCTCGCAGCACTCTTGCATGTACTGACATAACTGGGTTTAATTAACTCTGGAGTCTGCCGATATCTCTGGGAAGAAATGAGCTGTATTTAATTTAGAAGCAAAATATTCCAAATATACAAGACTGGATGACAGGAACAATTAAGTGGAAAAACCTGACTCCAAACTAAAATCAACTCGCCACAGAAGAAACAAACAGGCAGCTCTGAAAAGCGCTACAGACTGAAGGGTTTAGTACTGCATAACACAGGAAAATAGCCAAAATAATACCTACCAAACCATAGGCCATGCTTCTCTCATGTTCTTGGGTTATGTCTGCTACATATGCAAAAACTACAGAAAATGTCACTGCAAAAACTCCAGACACGGAGATAACAGCGAAGTACCACCTAAAACATGATAAAAACGTTAGAACAGCCAAATAGAAACAGAAGGTCTATTCAATCCAAGTGCAGTTCAACAGTAAATCACTCTGTCCAACTTATCCTGACAATTTATTGAGATAATCCTGGATAGAGCTAATGTGAATGTGTCTCGATAGAGTCGTGTAACTCCTCAGTGTACCGAGTACAAACGGCATGCTTTTGTAACACACACAAAGTGCTGCTGTGATTAAGTACTACTGGGAAATGAGGTGTTCAACTAACAAATTCAACTGATTTATGACCCAAAGTGAATTAGGGACTTCAGTATTTTGAGAATCTGGTCGTGGAAAGGCCTCAACATTATGTATATCTTTATGCTACAGACACTAGCATTTGGCATTTGAAACCTTAATCTACACTTAGAAACAAGCTCCTTACAAAGAGGGACAAACAACCTGTGTGACCAGGGAGAAAGTGGGAAAAGCTGACAGAGCTCCCTGAACAGCTGGTGCTGCCCCACATCAGTGCAGGCTGTGCTGCTGCTGCTGCCACATCCTGAGTTCATGCCTGCCTGGCGGATGTTCCAGCCAGTTAGGAGGTTACTAACTTGCACACAGCATGAAAGGTGGTGGATTTTAAAATTTGAGAAACAAAAGGATAAAACTGCAGCAACATTTTATGTTACAAATGGTTACTTCATACTCACATAAGGTCAGATTCTGATTTCCACACAGCCAGTTAGTATTTGAGTACTGTGACCACACTACAGACCTGCCCAGTTTACTGGAGAGCGTTCTCCCAGTGTTTGTACATGTGCTGGAGCAGGACTAGGGCTCACAGCACACAGATCAAAGCCAGCAGCTGTTAAAATTCTGACCAAGGTGTTTGGCCTCATGGCAGCTGCTTCAGTTTGACTGTTCCCCCAACTTTGCATGGAAGTAATACAAAAGCCTCAACCTCCCATGAACCATAAATAACATTTATTGACAATGCTACAAACATATGCATTAGATGCAGCCCTAACAAGAAAGAGCCAACCTACTGTGAAAGAATTTACTAACCATGGGCTGATCTTCATTAGTGGTATTGGTGCACAGGTGAAAAACACTGTTAGCAGCAGGAAGGACTTTCGTCCCCACACATCAGACAGGGCACCTATGAGTGGGGCACTGAGAAACGACAATAAGCCCTAAATGAACAAAACATTTTAAGTTAGAACTGAGTGGTTAGAATTGTGACAGCTGACCACACCACATCTGAGAGCGGCCTGAGCTCTATTTTGATTCAAGTCAACGACTACAGTGCAATGCATCAAAGGCAGTGTGACTAAGCATCACTGATCTTCTATCCCATGTCTGGTTACATAAAATTTGAGATCTGTTACCCCAGAACTACATAAAATTCAAAACACAGATCATCCAGTCATACTAGCAGTTTTAATAACTGTGTTTTATAATCTTATCTATTTAGAATTCACATAAACCTAAGTAATTGAAAATACCCTACTGGAGCAACAAGCTCCAAGTAAAAAATTATCAACTTTTACCACCATATGCATCATCTGGGATTAGTCAACTACCTTTTTTATTTGCTGAACCCAAACAGCAGATACAGACCAAGCAATACCTTACTAGAAGCGAAGTGATGTATATTTGCCTTGTTACAAGTAATTTACTCCCCTGTTTTAGTTATACTGCAAAAGCCATATTGAAAAACCTCTTGAATATTTCACCCAATTGGCATTCATTTCTATATTCATCCCACCATTCACTTTAAACTGTACTTGTGATTAACTTCTGTCAGCTTACCTTTACTCCTTGAATTAGACCATTCATTAGAAATGTATGTTTTGGGAAGGTTTCATGCAAAACCTGGAGAAGAAATATGAACACTGTCATTTACACAATAGTAGCTACAAATATTGCTCATGATACATCCAACTTTATGATGCACAGAACTTTTTTATTTTCACAGAATACAGAAGAAGGAAAAGACAAACCACAAATAATGTATTTCATCTCTAATTTGCATGGAAGGTAATTTGGGACTTCAATGTCTGAAATCTAAATAGACCACAGAGAACTTAGAAAATCATCTCAGACCACACTTTTCACATGGTACTGTGCCATCTGTTGGGAACTGGGGAGAGAGGGAGGAGACATCACCTCACATTCTGAAGTGCCTCCCAGCTCGGTGAGCAGAGCCCAGAAATGCAGGTCTCTCAGTGGGACTGGTGTCAGTGAGAGGGATTCCCTTCAGTAACCAATGTGCCATCTATACCCAGGACACTGCTCATGGTTAACATCAGCTTTCAGAGCTGCACCAAGACTGCATTTTAGGTGGAGCCTGCTTGAAGATTTTTAAGCCTTCGCTCCTTTTAATTTGTCAGCATGTGTCACTCACAGATTAAATCCAAATTAAAAGCAACCAACTACATGACAAAACTATTTGGTACAAACATGTTGGTATGACTGTCTCACTAATCACAGGGAAGCTCTGACTGGTGCAACAGGGTCTGTGCTCTGAAGCTTCTGTTTAAAACACAGCCAGGTGAGCAAAGATCTCCCTACCTACACACATACACATGCTTGCATAATGTTACCAAATTTGAAGTATTTTTGTCTTTATATTTGTAATGTGCCAACTTTTTGTGGCAACTTGAAAGGAAAGATAACTGCATTGCTGTCTTATTGACTGCAATCAGAAAATACTTACGTGTAAGCTTGAGTGTTAGCAGACTTGCACGTAAACAGCTATGCTACACCATTACCCTGCTTTAATGAAAGAATTTGAAATTTTTGATACCATCTAAAAATACAGAACTTTTTACTTGCACAACAGAGCAGCTCAGTGATACGTAATTTTCACTTAATTCAGAAGATGCCAAGTGCCTTTGTAGTGATTGCCCCATGTCCTGTACAGTGAGAAAAAGCTCCAGAGAATCACTTACCACCAGAGTGGGAGCTGTCAGGAGTCCCCAAGCAAAAAACTCCAAGAAGATTACAATAACGGCATGGTAGACACTAGGTGAGCCTATTCCTTGAGGCTAAAACAAGAGAAAAGAGAGGTGATAAAAACATCTAACCATCTATCAGAGTAGTGAGAAATGCATTTGAACACTAAAAATAGAAGGATTAACAATTAAACAGGACTCAAAACTTGGGAATACAGTTACTCCAGCTAACTGGTGAAATTCCTTCTTTTAACCCCTTGGTGATAATGTCCTCAAGTGTCTTAATTTGAAGGATTCTGCAGAATCCTCCACTGCCATCTCTAAATATTAACCACTTATACTGCCAGTCTGGTAAATAAGGATGCTACAGGGAAACCAGACTCTTCTTTAGAAGATCAGTTTATTCTCCTTGAGAAAATTGCTGAGGTTTACACAGTGCCACATGGAATCAAGTTTTCACGATTCCAAAACATAGTAGTGTTTACACTCAGCTATCCCAAAATCTAATTACCTGGTCTATCAAACAGCTCTATAGCACTTCTGTTACTAAAAGGCATCACTGCTACAAAACTTTGATAGCTCTAAATCAGGAAAGAAACCAAAATAACAAACACCAGAAGCAAATCTCAGGAACAGCACTGAATAGTGCTCCTAAATAGTGAGTGCAGGCCTGTGAATTACAGGGTGTTCAAATGCAGGAAGAGATACAGATGAAAGATTTGACATAAGGAACTTCAAATTCTTCAGTGATTTAGTAGAATCAGAAGTAGCTTTTGAGAAGAACAAAAGGAGCATGGGTGGGACAACCTGCTCATCTTGTAGCCTCTCAATGCTGTCAAACAACATGCCACAGTGCAACATTTGCAAATTAAGGATATGGTTCACTAATTATTTTCATGTGAAGGCACTATGAATAACTCATCAGAAATCTCATACGCATTCTTTAAACTCAGAAGTGCTGCCTTAACATGTACTCTCCCAGCTTTGTAAGTAAGTTACTACGAGTGGTACTGATGTGATCAGACCTGACATTACACTGAGCACACACAGCCTAAAGACCTCGGCTGCTTCCCAAGAAGGCTCACTGGGATCTTATCAATGTGTGTAAGTAGTTGACGGGAGGGAGCAAAGACAAGAGCCAGAAACGTCTCAGAGGTGTCAGTAACAGGACCGGAGGCACACAGTGAAATACAAGAAATTCTACTTAAACCTTGAACAAGGACCCCCTGAAACAGGCTGCTCAGTGAAGTGTGGAGCCTCCATCCCCCAAACCTCACCAGACACAGCCCTGAGCAAACTGCTCCAGCTGACCCTGTCTGGGGTAAGACAGTGGGGTAGCTGGATCAGAGATGTTCAGAGGTGCCTTCCAGCCTCATATACTATACAACTCCAAGTTGCAGTTCTGTAATATTAGAGTCTTTCTTTTATTACGAGATTTATGCAAGCCATACCTAGCTTTTCTTTCCAGATTCCAGTATTTCCAATATAGAAAAAATAAAAAGTTTATTGAACAAACATAGGAAATAAATACAGAAAACCTCACTGGCTACTCATCCCTCTTGCTAAAAAAGATCACAATTTTTAAAAGTAACCATATCAATATGTAAAAGGTGAGTTACAAAAGTACCAGAGAATTGTGTTATTTTTCTTTCTGAAGCCCTCTTCAGTAAATACAGACATACCATACAGATATTCCTGCTATTTCTTCATCCTACTCTCCTAAGGAGGTACATTAACAGTCTTTTTAGGTACAGAAAGTGGCTATAATTATCTTCTCTTCCCACAATTCCTTTCCCTTTCCACCCACAATCCTTATTTTAGCTTTGGGTTAAAAATTTATCCAGCTCTGCACAAACTAAGTATCATCATTACCTGTTTGGCTCGATGTCATAAAATCAGAAAATCAGGTTGATTCCCATAGCCCCTGGATTCCTGTCATGTTACTGGCTTGTGACCCCCCAAGGTATGACAGATGGCGAGGTGGGTGTCACAAACCATCCCCATCCCTCCAAGCACAGGGGTCAAGAGCACCTCTATTCACAGCAAACACGAGCTCATGGGCCATCTGTCCCCGTGCTGCCTCGTCCCGTTCTGGGCAGCTCCTCACAGACCACACGCACAGACCCAAACAGCAGAACGAAACCAGGGGCTGTTCTGCACAGCTGAGCCGCTGGTGACTTCAGAGACACACAGGCAGGTGACTGCTGCCCTCTGCCATGTCATCCAGCTGTAAGCAACAGCAACAGATGTTTCCTACGCAGCGGCAGAAACAAACAGAGGTGACATTTAGATCACTAGGGTTAAATTTCCTTGCTTTCTTATTGCTAGTGGTCTCTTGCCACAGGTACTATTAAAAAAAAAAAAAAGTAGTTTAGTGACATTTAGATCATCCCCCCATAGCCATTTTTAAAGGTGGCTGCAACTATAAAGTAGCAAAAATGCTCCTGAGGTGAAAGAGAAAGGGAAGGATATTAATAAGCAGATAAATGGCAGTGCATTAATATAATTCATGTGCATTCAGTCCACAAGATTTCAGCACCAATCTGACGTACCCTCCTACCCCAACATGTACAGTGCAGGCACTGGGTGTTCAGCCCTGTCCTACTCTACCAACCTGACCCCTGTGCTTTGTAAATGGGCTGACATGTAATGTAATGACCCAAGTGCAACCAAATCAGATGGCACTGATATGAGATAAAAGATATGGAGTCCTCGTGTGAACAGGCTGGAACCAAGATGTCCAATCAAGAGTAACAGCAACCCTTCTCTGCAACCAGGTACCCACAGCAAAGTGTATTTACATCCAGCTAAATCTGTGGCACAAAACAGTGCTCTAGGAATGCCCTTTTTCCTGGTAGAGAGAAGATGTCCTTTCCACATCAGAACCAGTGACAATTACATTAGGTTTGACTGAGGTTCCCCATCAGAAACTCTTTTTGTCTATGCCACTGCCTCATTAACCAGCTGTATATTCTTGGTGGCTCGCACAGTTTTCTTTGATGTCAAATAGTTTCAAAATAAACCAATCAGTCTGGAAACTGTACATGAAGATACTTGATTAATTACTGGTTTGCCAGTGGGAGACATTCAAGACATGGGGGACATTTTCATGTACCTGTTTCCCACAGTGTCACACAATGTGCTGGGTAACAAAGGAGCTGACGACAGAGCACTGAAGGCTAACTAACAGCAAACATTAAAAAAAAATCCATGCATAAAGTTTTTGCTGTCATTATAAAGAATACTCTGCTATACCAGACCTCTTAACTTTAAAAATGTATATAAAACAAATAAATTCCAAAACATTTATTTGAAAGCAGAAAGTATCACAAGCTGAAATTTCTTACCTACCAACAATCTACATACTTTCATCTAGTGTTTATGGCCCATGTTTCCACTGTTTTAAAAAACTGAAAATCATACAGAACTAACGCAAGTTTGCATTCTGCTTTTGGAACTGGTGGGAGCCACCCAATGCTGCACTACAAATATCACTAAATGCAGTTAATTGTAACATCCTTTCTCCTCTCCTCTAGCAAAAGAAAGTTAAAGTTGAGAGGCAAAGGACATTTGGAAGTATATTGTATCTTAACCAATGATTACTCCAGAGAGAAATGATGAAGCACCATGTCCCCTGAGTAACAGCATTTACTCTGCTTCTACTATTCATACTAAAATACTTGCATTTAACATTTGTACAAAGTAATCTCATTAATTTCCATCTTTACAAAGAAAGGGAAAACGTGTCCTGGAAAACACCAACAGCCATCAATGGAATTAGTTTTGCTTCTTAACACTGAAGTAAACCAGACAGATGGCCACCACTTCGACGAACAAGTATGGTGACTCTGAAACCTCCCTTTCCTCCACTGTTGTTCCAAAAAGACAAACTGAAGGGGTATCAGCAACCTAGCCTGTCAAGATGTCTCTTATGTGAAATTATGACACTGTATTTAGAAGAGAGCACACGGAAGCTGCATAATGTTACACAGTGGAAAAAATCCAGAGGCAACGATACACCGATAGTCATGCCACCCATCAATTAAAAAAAACCCAAAAAACAAAAAACCCCCAAAACACAAATTCAAACAAACCCCAAGCTCCAACAGCCAAAAACACTTAACAACTTCCCTTCTTTTTAAAATTTATGTATTCAAGAGGAAGCAAGACAGCGTGAGGAACTGCAAAATCCTTCTTCCAGGTGCCCTTTGTGGGACTTCTCAGGTGCTGGAGCGTGTCCCCCTCGCTGGCCCGTTCTGTCCCGGCCCACGGGCACGGCGATCCTGCCGGCGGCACCCCCGCCTTGCGCGGTCCCGCTCCGAATCGCGGCCAGGGCGAGGCGGGTCTGGACACGCCCCGCACCCCGGGGCGGCCGTAACGCCCCGCCGGGCCGGGGCCCAGCGGCTGGGGCCGCACTCGCTCCTGCGCCCCAACCCCGTCCCGCGCCCGGGAACAGCCCCTACGGGCCGGACCAGCCAGCCCGGGCCTAGGAGGTGCTGGGGCACCGCCACCAGCGCGGCTGCCGAAACCTGTGGGCCCACCGGGCCCTGCCCGCCCGATGCCGCCCCCACCCCGCCGCGCTGCCCGGGGCTCCCCGGCCTCTCCAGCTGTGCCCCGGCCTCACCGTCCCGCCGTCTTTAATAATGATCTTCTTGGCCAGCATGATGCTGCGGTTCACGGCGCGCTTCTTCTTCTTGCCCGCCTGGGTCATTTTACCATCGCCCCCGGGGGGCGGCACCCGCGGCAGCCCCGCCGGCCCCTCCCGGTCCCTTCGGGCCTCGGCTCCCTCCGTCCCGGCCGCCGCCGCCGCCGCCGCCGCTCACGCGCCCGCCGCCATCTTGCGCTGCCCCCGCCGCGCGCGCAGCCCGCGCCGCGCATCACGCGATCGCGCCATTGGCCGCGAGCCGTCACGTGAGCGTGGCCCCCGCCCCGCCCGCGCCGGGAAGGGCGGGGCTGGATCGGGAAACCGGGCCTGGGGAACGGGAGCCGCAGACAGCGCCCGGCCTCGCGCACCGGGACACGCCGGCGCGCACCGCGCTCGCGCTCCGCCGCGGCCCCGCGGGAGCCGCAGGTTCTCAAACGCCCTTCCCGGCATCGCCCCCTCCCAGCATCGCCCCCCGGCGCGCCCCCGTCCCCATCAAGCGAGCCGAACCCGCGGGGGCTGCCGGGGAGAGGATCGACGGAGGGCGGCTCGTGCTGGACATAGCTGGCATTTCTAGAGCCAAAGCACACGGCCACACATATAATTAATCCTAAAAATCCAACCCGGAGACATTCTGTTTCCCTACTATCAAGATTTAAACTTAGTTTATGAAAGCTCCAGCACCTTCAAATGGGAGGGTCATTCCAGGTTTTGATTTACCTCAGATAATAAGGATCGGCTTTCCCACGGCAGCACGCCCATAAGCGGAGAAGAAACGTGTACTAGAGCACTATTAGGTTTCACGTGGCTTATAAATGCCTTCTCTGCTGATATCTTGCAGTGCTAAACAGAGCAACAACTGTCCACATCCTGTACTGCTGCATTAACACCACCAGACACAGCTCTCCATGGTCGTATCCACATATCAGTCTTTTCTCTATGTTCTTTTTCACTTAGTCTTCCATCTCTCAACCCTCTTGCTGTTTATCTCCATCTCAGCTCCTGCGACATCCCTGTTTCCCCCAAAACGTCAGCTACACATGGAGCATCCTCCCCGTCCCTAGCAACAGTGGAACCTCACTCCTGAGGTACAGATTGCAGCTCCCACCGTGTAAACAAAGGGATGTAAATCTCTCACCGCTTAAGATCGAGTAGCCTTAAGTTAAACTCTTAGCCTTAAGATAAGCACCCTCGTCTCATCATAATGCGACTTTTAAGGAATTTAGAACTTCCCGAGGCACAGCCCTACTCAGGGGCCAACAGAGGTACTCATGGTGAGACAAGGGCAAGTAGACTCCGTCTAATGATACAAAGTGTGGGTCAAGTGGGTCTAGGATGTTTGCAGTCGTTGCTATTATCAGTAATTTGTTACAAGTCTTAATGTATCACACCAAATACGTGACAATTCTGTTCCAGAGTTTCTCCCTCCTTCTACTTGAAAAGGAGAGGGGTCCTATAACAGTTTCAAGTCTATCCCTCAGAGTGCTTAGATTTTGGTTGGGAAGTCACACACAGCCACATATGTGACATGTAAGGGATTGATGTAAAAAAATCAACACAACTACACCATGTCAGCAAAGTCATTTGGTAACTAGGCTGATAAGACAGCTGTTTTACTATCCACACCTTCATATTAGACCAATCCCTCTTACTGATGTCATTATCTCAAAATAAATGCTTTTAAAAATCAAGTTTGATCATGTAGACAAGGCAGATGATTCAAATAATGAAAATGTAGAATAAACTAGATAAATGACTTGCCTTTGCTGTCATGAATTTCAGCCAGTTACATGTTTTTAAATATCAAACTCCACTTACATACACAAGTCCTCACATAATCCACTCTGCCATTATTCAAATGAGACACAAATTCCTGACAAACATTGAAACTCCTGAAGAAGAGAAACAAGAACTGTCTGTTACATCAAAACACCTGTAGTGCCTGACCCTCTCTACTAAGTAAATACATAATACTGCCCGCTAGCTGTAGAGGGCATTAACATCCTTTTGGAAGTAGGATGAAAAGCACAAGCAGATGATGGCTCCAATGGTTTCAGTTAAGACTCCTCAGGAGTGCTTTTAGGCCAAACTGGAAGAACAGTGTCCTCTGCATCCCAGTACTCTGTACCAGCTATGCTCCTCTGTTTAACCAGTGAATAATTAATTCCTGTTACCTAATGGCCTAAAAATTTCAGTTTAAGTCATATTGCATTTGAACAATAAGATGAGAGCAAAACTGACAGAAGGAATGGATAGAAATCAAGTGCCCTGAAAATTGCTGGTGAAATGACCCAGTTTTATTATATGTATCTCTGGAAAGGACAGAGAAACGTGTTATCCATCATCTATAGTAATGTGCTTGTGAACTCTGTTCAGGTCTTTGATATATTGTAAATTATAGTGATACATAGCTCCTTCTAGAAAGGATTACAGTGTTTTACAATCACATCTCACACTATAAGTTGATATTGATACTCAGGCACTCCCTACCACCTCCAGTTCAGGACAAGGAGATCTGGGTTTTCAGACCAGAAGAGCACAGAGAGAGTCACAAGAACACTGCTTGAATGGGATTCACAAGAAGTCATGACACTGGTCAAAAAGAAGCGTGTCTCAGTCAAAATTAAATTGCTGGCAAATTTCAGTAAGTTGTTAAAAGATACCGTTAACAAACCTCTTACAATAGCCTTCTGAATTTTACAGAAAATTATGCCAAAATCACATTCTGAAATTGTACATGTTAATTAAAACATTGTTTTATTTCTGCTAAAATACGCATAAGGCAAACCTCTCCTTTTACAATGCTCTCAAACAGTTTTTTATCATATTCCTAATAAAGGCAGTGCTTAATTTTAACCAGTTTATTACTATAGTGGCATTATCTACATATATAAAAGAAAAAAAATACAGTATTTTACCTCAATATGGATTTTAAGAAAGACTGTGTTAGGTCATGTAAGATGCATTCCATGGTTCAGCAGTGTTATACCAAAAAAAAAAAAAGTCTCCAAATTGCCTGGAAACACCATATAGAACTGTGTTCAGCGTAATCACACATAAATATCGACATCAACATATAAAAACCTAAGACTACCTTAAAAACTTCACTACAACATTTGAATATATGATCTATATTTGGGCTCATATATTTACAATAAAGAACAAAGTTTAAAAAATCTAAAAAAGTGATACTCACAGCAGCAAATACAAACATGTGCTTAGCATAAAGCAATTCTTACTGAGCTATAAATTGCTGATGAAATGCATACAGCTAATTACAGCCAGAATGATGATGGAAGGTTAAAGAGTTAGTTTGTCATGTCTGCTCTCGGATGCAAACATGTAGCAGACATTCAAGAACAAGCACTGAATGGCACCTCAGGACAGACTCTTTTTTCTTCTAGAAAGAGTTATAATTCAGCTACTGAGAAATCATTAGAAAAAGTTAAGATTCAACTAAACAGAAAATTTGGACAGTAACTGAAGCAGAAGATACAATATAACTAATTTTGTTGCATTTTCCCCTGCATTTTTTTTTTTTGGAGTAAAATGTCTTAATTCTAGATATTTAAAAACATATGAGCTTACCTGGAAAGAGCAGAACTCTCTAGTCACTTCCTCTGGGAAATAATCAGCATTGAAAATGAACAAAACTATTAAAATAAAGGCAAGGAAACACTTCTTGGACTTTCTTACAGTAATATACCACCTTAGGTAATGATACATTACCATATACATGGTATAATACCATGTTACAGATAAACATTACCTTCTAATACACAAATATCTCATTCTTACAAAACATAGATTTCAGACAAGAAAACAATGAGTAATCCTCCTCAACACAATATCCAGCAAGAACTATTGTCACCAGGAAGAAAATGAGCAACAAGTTCAAATTTGGAAAATGACAATTGCTTAAATACAACACAACATGCACGGCTGACTAGGACATATATCAAAATATGAAAGTTACTGACAATGAAAACCAGAAGAAAGGCAATATTTCCTTCATCAATTTAAAACCAATACAACAGAATCTATGACAGTATCTTGAATTACAGACATAAATTAAGTTAGGAACACAAAACAATTATGTACTACTAAAAGTGAGAGGACTGTATGAGCAAATGAAATGCAAGCACAGGCTACCAAAATGAGATTTTTGGGGGGAGGGGAAATAAAACAATAGTTACTAAAAAGTTGCAGTAAAAACCGAAGGTGTTATCTTGTAGAAGCTAAATCTAGAAGATTAATCTACCCTTTATTAAAGCAAACAAAAAAGGAGGTTTTCTCATGGTTTGTCTAAAACAATGAAGTTGAATAGAACTTTTATCTCCATTCTTTGAGAAAAAAGATTATTGGGCACTTGCGGACAGTGTAGAAATACAGTGTAAAAAGTTTATTTTACTTTATTAGACTCAAGTTTTTCACTACAGAACTGATTTATTTTGCTTTGAAGACAGTTCTAAATTTATTGTTATTTGACAACTTATCATGTATCCCAGAGATACTCAAATAAAACTACCAAATATCCAAATATTCAATAAATACTAGTACTCCCATTCTGCAAGTCTTAAAAAAAAAAAAATCACATAATTCAAGTTATTGCAAATAAATACCTAGCTACAACTTTTTAAATATTTAAATAAAATTCTGCCAAGTATAGGTTAGCCTGCTAAATATACAACTAAACGAACAAAACCATTATCTAAAAGTCAGAAAAGTAGTTCAGAAAGTCAAGTTTATTTTTGGAAACTTAGACTCTTACAGATTGCTTTTAGGGCAAACTCAAAGCACACCATCCACTACTTCCCAATGCTCTCTCCTAGCTATGTCTCTTTGGTTAGTTAATGAGTTATAGACTTAAAACTGCTTAAAAAAAAAAAAACAAACCCAAATACAAAAGTATCTCAGTGAGAAAATGTGCATATGCTCTCAGTTTGCAAAGGTTACAGAAATCAGTAAACCCTCCTCAAATCCTTTTTGTTCTCACTCTGTCAAAGGCTAAGGAAACACAGTTAAAAATGCAAATTGATTTTTCCTTTACAGCAACAAGTGTATGAAGAGATCTGTCCCTCTGCTTAATAGGACTGTCAGCTGCAAGCATGGAAGAGTCACTGATCTACAGACAGGATTTACTGTTCCTTAGTACAGCGCT